GAACCTGGACAAATCAGTTTTTCTGAGCCCCACTGCCCTGATCTGTAAATGGGGCATAATAATGTCTGCCTCACAGAATTTTCAGGGTTAATAATGGAAGTGAAGCACTTTGAAAGGTAGCTGGCACCTAGCAAATGCTTAATACTCTTTTTCCTGCCAAAGCCACCATGAAGGAGGAGGCATATGAAGACCGCAACCGCTTCCGCAGTAACCAGCGCTTCCGGTCCTCTCCGTTAGCCTCTGCTTATGTATAATTGGAGTCCTCACCACAGCTCTATGTCTGAGCTGGACTTAAAAAATCCTGGCCTTTCCTTGCCAGCCCTGCTGTCCTGTTATCCCGGTTCGGACAGAGAGGAGCCCTAACTCATGCCAGGCTCCTTGCCAGTCCTTGTCCTCCGTTGCCCTCCTCTGGCCCTCTCCAGGAAGGTTCAGTCTTGAGAAGCAGTAATAGGACGTTGTCATACTCTTCTGACATTTCCCTTCCAAAGGGGGGTTGGGGGGAGTCCAGTGAGTCGTTCACGGAATTTACATGCACACTACTAGTAGCATGTTAGGCATGAAGAGGGCATCAAGACACATGCTCTGTGGTCTCTCCTTCATAAGAGGCACACAAATGCTCTCCTGAAGTTGCTCAGGTACAACAGAAATTAGGATAGTTTTGAAAGGAAGGGTGAACCGGTAAATTAAGGACTCCTATACCTCATCAAATGAGGTAAGAAAGGCAGGAGCCTCTGCCAAGGAATTGTATCTGTTCCTCCATCCCTTACCAACATAGTCCAGGCATTATCTAGGTAGCCAACATTTTGATTCAAGCTTGAATTCTCTCATCTTTCTTGCATGAAGCCTAGATCAGATCCCATTGAGAGATCAACCCGGCCTCTCCTTCCCCTCACAGCCTGCAAAACTGAAAGCATTTTCAAAGGAAATGGGACACCAGACCCTTTACCCTTACCACCCTGAAAGGTGCCAGAAAAGGGTTGCAAAGTGCTGAAGTGTTATGGTTCCCTAACTTCTGTTGTTTTCTTCCCCTCATCAGTTTGGCAAAGGTTAAAAGTATGGGAAACATACGGAGACTGAAGCATCTGGGGAAACAAGCAACTCTCATACACTTGGTAACTGAGAATGTGGTTGGATGGAAAGCAATTGAGTGTAATTTTTTAGCAACACAAACAAAATCCATTTTAATGTCCATGCCTTGGGGCACCTGGGTGGCTCAGTGGGTTAAAGCTTCTGCCTTCGGCTTGGGTCATAATCCCAGGGTCCTGGGATCAAGTCCCACATCGGGCTCGTGTTCAGCAGGGAGCCTGCTCTCTGCCTGCCTCTCTGCCTACTTGTGATCTGTCAAATAAATAAATAAATAAATAAATCTTTTTAAATAAATAAATAAACGAATGAATAAATGTCCATGCCTTTTAAGTCACTAATTTTATTTCTAGGAATGCATTTATGGAACTCATCGAAGCACTGTTTCTACAAAAAAGTTCATGAGAGTTTTATTCAAAGTACTGAAAATATGAAACCACCTAAATATCGGTCAGTAGGGCAATGGGTAAATAAAGTGTGGTAACCCATGCCATAGAGCTACGCAGGGGGATGTGGAGCAACTGGAACTCTCAAGGACCGCTACAGGGGAAGAAACTGGCACAAGTACTTTAGAAATTTGACAGTATTTAGTGAAACTCAGCGTACACCCAACTCATGACCCAGCAATTCTACTTAGATATATAACCAAGAGAAACAGGTGGGTAGGTTTACCAAAAGACATGTACAAAAATATTCATTGCAGCTTTGTAGCTAAGAGTAAAACAAAAGTGTCGATCAATGGAAGGATGAACAAACTGAGGTATATCTACCATGGAAGACTGTACAGCAATTAGAAAGGATGAACTAGGGGCATCTAGGTGGCTCAGTCGATTAAGTGTCCGACTGGTGATACTGGCTCAGGTCATGATCTCAGAGTCATGAGATCGAGCCCTGTGTGAGGCTCCATGCTCAGCTGGGCGTCTGCTTGAGAGTCTCTCCCAGTCCCCCTCCCCCCATTCACGCACTCGCTCTCTAAAATAAATAAATCTTTGGGACACCTGGGTGGCTCAGTGGGTTAAGCCTCTGCCTTCGGCTTGGGTCATGGTCTCAGGGTCCTGGAATCGAGCCCCGTATCGGACTCTCTGCTCAGCGGGGAACCTGCTTCCCCCTCTCTCTCTCTGCCTGCCTCTCTGCCTACTTGTTTTTTGTTTTTTTTTTTTTAAGTTTTTTTTAATTTATTTGACAGAGATCACAAGAAGGCAGAGAGGCCTGTTTGTGATCTCTCTGTCAGGTAAATAAATAAAATCTTTAAAAATAAAATAAATTTGAAAAAAATAAATCTTTAAGAATGAACTACATGCAACAACCTGGATGAATCTCACACATATTTTTAAACCAAAGGAACTATATGATCCCACTTCTATGAAGTTCAAAAACAAGACTAACACATAATGATAATAAAACAGTAGGTACCTTTAGAGGCAAGAGAAGGGAGGAGGCTATGAGGAAACACAACAGAGCCTTCTGGAGTGCCACATAGGATGTTTTACTCCAGCTTTATTTAAGGTATAATTTAAGGTGTACAACTTGATGTTTTGATATATATATAGGTTAAATAGTCAGGACAACCCAGCTACATAATACACCCATCACCTCACACAGTTACTTACCTTTTTCATGTGTGGCAGGAACACTTATTTAAGATGTACTCCCTTAGCACATTTCAAGTATACAATTCAGCATTGTTAACTATAATCACATTACTATAATATACATGATCTTGATCTGGGTAAGGGCTACAGAACTATATACATTCATGAAGCTACACACTTTGTGGATTTACCTCCTTCTAAATCTCAATACATTTTTAAAAGTAGTAAAGTGATTTGGAACTATAAATGACATGAAAAGGTGTCCTATTTAATAATTTTTAACAGGACCCCTGAAACACTTTTATATTGACTGCCACACAGATATAAAAAAATATTAACTTTTTATAGCTTCATTTGGTAAATTTTATATATATTCACCCATCTCAAGTGTATACTCCAACGATTATTAGTAAATTTGCCAACTTGTGCAACCATCACCATAAATCAGTTTTAGAACACGTTCATCATCCCAATGAAATTCCTCGTGCCCCTTTACTGTTAAGCTATTTTCTTACCCCAGTGCCAAGCAACCATTAATCTACTCTATCCCTCTAAATGTGCTTCTCCTGGACATTCAATAAATGTGATCATACAATATATGGTGTCTTGTGCCTTGCTTCTTTCACTTGGCATAACATTTTTGAAGTATGCCCATAGCATATACCAGTAGTTTCTTTTTATAGCTGAATAGTTTTCCATTAAATGAATATACCACATTTTGTCTATTAATTCACCAACTGATGGGCAGAAATAAACTTCTGCAACATTTCTATTTACAAATAAATACAGCTTAAAGCACCACCTTCCACCCTCATCTCATCCTTCTCCTCCTTCCAAAGAATCATGGGTCTTGAGGTTAGTGAGCCTTCCCCTCCATGCTTTTATACTGTTAATACATATGAATGCACACATGACAAAACAGCTTCGTAATTTTAACATTTATGTATCTGTATACTGCTTTTTCAACTTGTTTTTACTCATAATTATATTTTTGAGATTTATCCAATTTGTTTTAAGTAGATGGGATTTCATTTTAATTGTTATACATTTCTTTGATTATAAGTAACTCCTAATTTATCCATTTCCTCTGGTCATTTAGGTTTTCAGTATTTCTCTATTACAAAAAAAAAAGAATGTTGCTATGAACATTCTTGATTCTGTCTCCTTGTGCACACGTGAGAATTTCTCTACATCATCTACTTAAAAGTGAAACTGTTGGTTCCCAGGCTATGAGCACCCTTCTCTTTACTAGGTGTTGCCAAAAGAGTTGAGTTTTTGTGATCCTACATTTTTACCAATACTTGGCATTTATTCAACTTTTAAAATATTCTACCACTCTCACAGAAGTAGTAATATCTCATGGCTTGGATTTGTATTTCCTTGATTTTTAATAATGTAATCTTTTTATATGATTATTAACCATTTGGGTCTCTTCTTTCGTGACCTAATATTTTGTCTGTCTTCCTGTTTTCTTCTTTCATGTTCCTTACGTATCTGTATCCCAAGCTTGCAAAAATCGCCCTTCAATCTGAAAATTTTATTTTGTTTACAGTTTCTTTTGCCATACCCAGATTGTAAATTTTAGTGTGGTTAAATCTAGTCCTTTCCATCAGGGTTTGTGCTTTCTCACAGCTTACTGAAGAAATTCTTTTCTGTCCAGATCTCTAAAACAATCCTCACATTTTCTTCAAATATTATGAACTTTTGCTTTTTTAATATTGGTCACTAATCCACCTGAAATTTATTTTTATGAATGCTATCAGGAGACAACTGTTTTCAACCAGGTAGTCAACTGTCTCTCAAAATAGCAGAACTGCCTGACACAGCCATTTACTCCTAACTCCTAACGGCGACTGGCAAAGTCCTCCTCATCTGAAAAAGATGTTTAAGATAAGAATTTGATATTTCTTAATATCCCTTAAACATAATAAGTCATAGCTAATAACATTTGGTAGGACAGAATAAACCAGAATATACTGGTTCAGTTTTTCTTAGACGCAAGGAAAAAGACCCATTCAGCTTTATCCAACAAAAGTATAAGGATCCAAACAGATACTAAATTACCTAGCAAGTAAAAATACTGGGCAACAGCAAAGTGGTCAGGCATTCCTGCGAGCTTTCCTTTACAGTCACAAAATGCCAAATTTTAAGAGTTTCATGGGGACACAAATCCAAACTTTTATCTAGCCCTCAAAATTCACACTCTCACACCTTCCCTCTCCTCTCCAAAGCTTAACTTTAGAAAAGGGTCACTCAAGTAATGTATCTTAATAGTTACAATGTTAAGAGAAATGCCTTACCTTGGTACTACTGTAATCATCACTAAATTTCATTCATAGTTATATTCTTGAATAAACTAACAAAAAATTATTTCACTGGATATAAATCCTCATATAACTACTACTACTTTGTAATTACTTGGAAGGTTTTTACATAATATTACACTTACCATAATAATTTACATAATATAGCTAGTATCAAGCAGTTAAATATGAATTCCTTGTTCTCTTGAAAAAGGGAAAGAACACCATTTTAAGTTAATGATATGTTTCTGAATAGGACACTCCAAGGCATTCTTAAGAAGGTGTGTAATATGGAGATTGATAATTTACCAAATAAATTCACTGTGATCACTTCCTTTATAAAAATTCACAGGAACTATTAATGACAGCAAATGTTAATTTAATATTTTTTACCCCTTCCTTCTTCTGCCATCTATTAGAACTTACTGAGAATACAATTTCTTAACAGTATTTCTTTGGAAATGAATGCTATAATGCAACTGCTGTATAATTATCTCTTAGGCTGCAAATTTTCAGCATTCTACGTACTTTATAGTATATTTTACATACACTTAAAAACATAAACTCAATGGTCAAGGAAACAAAAAAGGTACTCTTTGGTTTAAATATTCATTAAGCATAATAAATTCAATTAGACACAGTATGAGGTTTTCCTCAAAGCCATACAATAATAATACAAGTTTGTATTGTTCAAATATTCTCATTGTTATACAGGTTGTCACATTTCACTTTTAATAGGAACTGACTCAAAGAGACCCTGGAACAAAAGTATCCTAACCAAGTAGCAGTTCCCAAAGTGTCATGCTAAAAAAACATTACTCTCCAATTCACACAATTCAAACAATCAAATGAGAGAACAACCACTTCTTTATTAATAGAACAATGCACATTAGTTTCCTGTGCCCAAGTGATGTTGCCTAAAAAATATTTAAACATGAAAAACTAAAGATGCAATAACTGGAATAATATTAATACAATATTTTTTTAAACTGCTAAGATCTCATTCGCTGAATGATATTTTCATGAGCTTAGCAATGATTCCAACTTCAGCTGAAACAAAATGAATTAAAATTCCTTACAGGAAATCCTACTGCTGACAATCGTCTTCATTAAAAACATAAAACTAAAAATGACTCAACCTATAAAGACTAAATCCCACTAGAAAATAAGAGATGTGGCTAGGTAGGAAATTAGATCTTACTGAAATTAAGATGATGGAGATAAAATGGTACCCTCGTTACAAAGATATCACAAACGGCTGTATTCTTTAAAATTATTCGTTCAAGATATAATTTGCTCTCCTGCAGTGTCAGATGCTAATGCAACCAATTTTATACAATCTAAGCACTGTCTACAGATGCACCTTCTGTTTTTAAATCAGCAGGAACCACTGACCAGCATAAGCAATATTCCTAATAATCAGCAAATGTGTAAAGTCTGACACCCCCCATACACATTTGACCACAGAACTGCTTCAATAAATTCAAACGACTATAAACAACTGTACATACTGAACCAATCTAATTCAAAAAGCATCAAAAAGTCAATTATTGCAAATAGCCGTTGTGTCGCAGATCAGGAATCGCTTCTAATCCCTAAAATCGGAGAACTGTTTTCATTTATTGAAAGCATGTTTTCTAAGAGAATTCCTAAAGATACACATTATTATGACTATCTGATTTTCTGTACTGATTCTATTATTCCCCTTCATTACATAACATCTAACAATATGAAGAGGCAAAAACATATCTATAATTTCGTCTTTCAAGACAATCTAGCAATATGTACGAAAACAAAACAAAACTAGTGGAGTGATTCAAAAGAACAGGAAAACTTCAACAATATATTCAGAGGGTAAGGAGAAAGGAAATAATTATTGAGAACTTGTTTGCCGATGGGCCCCAAACTGATATTTTCTTTTTTAGTCTTCACAGCCATCCTACGAAAGAGGCACAATATTCTTTACAGAAGAAGAGAACAAATTTCAGATGTTAACTGATTTCCCCAAGGTGACAAAGCTACTAAGGGACAAAGCCAAGATTTAGCTGAAAGTCTGTACTACTCCAAAGTCTAAACTATCATCTACACCAAGTTCTACACTACACACTACATACACAAACACACACACACACACACACACACACGAGGAGGTCGATGAAATGGGCTTCATGGACTGGCCTGAGAAAAATGCTATGAATGAAGTTGTGCCTAAGGAGGTTTATAATTCCAAATAAGTATTTTATAAGCTTATTTAAATGAACCCCTCCTAAGCTGGGAACATTTGATACATCAAAAAACCATGACAAATACCTGTAACAAAAATCTGTAACAAATATCAGAAAACAATTTAGAGGAATATAAATAATGACCTGTCTCTCTGATACGAATTCATTTAGTCTCTGAATAGAGCCAAACATCATATTGCTTTGAGTTCCAAAAAGACTGTACAGTTTTCAAAGCGCTTTCACATGCTTTAGCATTCATAAAATCCTCAAAAGAATCCAGTGGAAAAGTTATACAGTGAATACATAAAGAGAAAAATAAAGAGAGGAACTCTAAACACAAAGAAGAGTACTCCTCAGTCCTTAGCTACCACTATCCCCACACCTTCTCAAGGCAAAAACATGGCCACTGGGACGGAAAGTGCAGCCGTCCACTGTCTCTCACTTGTGATCTCTCTCCAGGCTCAAGCAAGGTCACTTCAGTCAGAACTCCATGGGCTACAGCAAGAGAATACGTCCCTGCTTCTAGAAATACCCAATCTCTACATAAACAACTCCAGGTGTTACTATCTTTTTAGAAATGACAACTAGAGCTTAGATTATTAATGAGGTCACAAAGTAAGTGGCAGACACAAGATTCAGATCCCATCTCTGGCCTTCAAGATTAGAAACTATCACCTTCCCTAGAATGGCTTTGAAAGAGAACTCATCTTTATGCCAAATTACAGCAGGAAATGCAAATTTACAGAGATTTCACTGTAGGACATTATAAATGATAAACAACAGCATGTTGGTCCACATGTTGGGAGGTTTGAGGAGAAGAGACCCTTTTATCTGATGACATACACTTAAAAATGCTAATCACCATGTGCAAGGTAAAACAGTCACATAAATTAATCGAATTTTTAATATATTAGAATTTTTACATCCAAAGGAGTATCACCCTCACAAAATAAGAACCTTACAGAGGCAATACACTTATTTCAATGTTAAATTATTTTGAGAATCCCCTTTGGAAAATTCCTTCAGACACTTTGGAATGTTCATTTAGATTTCTCATATTTTCCTAGTTGGTAATATAATGAATACAGTCTTCTGGGATATGATTAGGCATCACATACTGAAGGCGTTAAGAAGGGCACCTAGGTGGCTCAATGGGTTAAGCCCCTGCCTTCAGCTCAGGTCATGATCTCAGGATCCTGGGATCGAGCCCCGCATCAGGCTCTCTGCTCAGCAGGGATCCTGCTTCCCCCTCTCTCTCTGCCTGCCTCTCTGCCTACTTGTGATCTCTCTGTCAAATAAATAAAATTAAAAAATAAAATAAAACAAAGGCGTTAAGAACGTGCCAACCTTTCGACCAGGTAATTCAACTTCTAGATATATATTAAAAGGAAATGCTAATAAATGTACGTGACCATCGTTATCATATTGCTTGTAACAGCAACACTAGACAACATGACTTATAAGGGATTGACTAAAGTAGGATATATTTATGTGATTAGCTGTAATATATCCATTAAAAATCATATTATAGAACAGAAGTTCTCAAAGTGTGGTCCCTGGGCCAACAGAATTATCACTTAGTATACATATGTACATACATACACACACACACACACACACACACACACGCGTGTGCGCGCGTAGCTATCCTTCACTGTGCAAACTCTAACCATCCAAACAGAGTCAAATAATGTTTAAATGAATCTCTCACACATCCAAGTTCTTGCCATATGTCATCCAAAATTCAGGAACCAATTGTTATAGACTCAGATAAAGTAGAAGCCCTTAGCACTCAAACTCAAGAAATAGATTCAGGAAACAAGAGATAGTGAATATAAATTGGGGAGTGTGTGTATGTGTAATCAAATATCAGAATGTTACCAATGATTATACCTAAGAATTAGGAGTAGAAGCTATTTTCGTTTTTTCTTGTCTTTGCATTTCTGAGTTTTGTAAATAATCTTCAGTGTAGGTACTCTAAGTTGAAACTTAGATTATTTTAAGAAACAAATACATATCAATCATGCAAACTAAATAAGACTTTATTTAGAGATACCTACATATATGGTGAAATGATCATAAAAAGCAAGAAAATGAAAAAAAATGGGGGAAGGGCCATCTAGGGATGGGAGTAAGGCCCAGGAGGAGGGCAGATTCAGGGGAGGAGCACACAGAGGGCTTCAAGACCTTAGCAATGCTCTGTTTAAACTAATATGGTAGACTGTCTTCGAAGACGTCACCTCGGGCACATGCCACTTCTCTCACCAAGCCATGGATTCTGTTTCCCCCTCCTTCCATCAGACTGACTTAGTGACTTTCTCTGAACAACAAAACAAGCCGCAGAAATTACACTGAGCCGCATCTGGACCCAGGTCTTTAGAGGCTTGTCAGCTCTGCTTTCATCCTTTTGGGATCCGGCTGCCACATATCTCAGGCTGAACTCCTGAATGAAGAGGGGCCACAGAGACAGAGAGAGACCCAGGCAGGACCCAGCTGTTCCAGCCACCCAGGTGAAATGGGAAACACATGAGAGAAGCCATCTTGGACATTTCAGATCCAAGCTGAATGAGTGGCTCCAGCCAACAACTCGGAGCAGAACTGCCAAGGTGAGCCCAGCCAATTCACAGAAGCACGAAAAATAATAAATCAGTACTGTGTCCAGTTTCGAGGTGATTTTTATAGGCAGTGATAAAGAACTGAAAATAAATTTGTATTGCTATTTTCAATCTCTTATATATGATAAATCATCTTTTGTAGGATGAAAACTTTAATTTTATTTGTATCTCAAGTGAATAATAACATTTTATACT